TCATAGCTTCCAAAAGAGAGAAAAATAAAGTGTTTTGTTGTTGTATCTCCAAGACGATTTTTGAAGGCTTCTGTAGATGCGACACCAGCTTTGCAAATTTCTTTACTTAGGTTTCATTAATTGATTTGATTGTATTGAATTTATTTTAAATTAACAAATGTTTTATGTCTTTCTTTCAAAATATTTGGCTGCAAAAAAGTATTGGATATGATTAAAAATGGAGAAATTCTCTTAGATAGTTTTTGAAAAAAATTATTTTTGTTAAAGTTTGTAATTAATTTTTTCTTCATAAAATGTCTATGCATGTGATGTGAGGCCAAATAACTTAATTGAATAGACGTTTAAAATGTCTTATATAAATTCAACAATACTCAATCTTTATAATATTATTTGAGAAGTCACTTTCTTAGGTGTCGTGCTCACGTTAACTCTCACGTTGGTTGATTACTATGATATCCCTAATGAATTAAAAATATATTTAAATATTATTATTTTCTTTTTAAAATCTTCCAAATAACAATATAAAACAAAAAGGAAATATTTCTAAAATTTACAAAACTATTTAAAAACGAAAAATAAGTATATATATAATATAGTTTCATAAAAAAAGAAAGTTTACAAATAGTAATATTTAACTTAAATATATTTTTAAATAACATAAATTATACTTTCTAAGTAATTATACTTTATATCTGTATATAATATAATGTATCTTCTTAGATGAAAAAATATTTGTATATAATGTATTTTCATAAAAAAATTTCATACAAATAATCTTGATATTAGAAAAAGAAATATTTTTGCTTTAAAAAAATAATTTAAACAATAAAATATATATTTTCAAAGTAATTAGTTTTGTATATATCTATCTATTTTATTAGATGATTACATAAAATAATTAAGTAACATAAACTAATATATGTTTAATTGACAAAAAAATTATAATTAGTATATTTATTTGATTATAATATCTTACCGTTACAGCAAAAAATATTAATTATATTTTACTTATATAATATAATTTCTCAAAAATAATCATATTTTTACTGCATATTTTAAGAGATATTAAAAAAAAACTAAAAATAAATTTAATGGTAAACATCTTCTGATCAGATAACTACAATTCTTTTAAAATATCATAACACTATATAATTTAACGAGGTAGATATATTATATTTTAATAGTTAAAATTATATGTTGTCTTAATAACTCTTTTGATGTTTAATTTTCTGTTTTTATGTTTGTGGAATTTAATATAACCATTATCAAAATACTTAAGAAAATTATAATTCTTTATTTTAAAAATTATTTAAAATAATTCTACAATAAAAAATTATTTAAAATAAATTTCAGTTTACCATCCAATCAATCTAAGACATAAATTATTTAAAATTTATAAAATATTTAATTATTGTAAATATTGATATGTTTTCATAAGCTTCTGGAAATTTATTATTACTTATGTATGTAATTTAGAATCAGACACTTTAGTTTTTATTTTTTTCGTTCTAAGCACAAAAATATTAAAATACATAATCTTACTAAGATATACTTATATTTCTAAGATAACAACCAACATAAATGTAAATAAAATAATTAATCAAAAGTTTAAGATATTTAGAATAAAAAAGATTATAGTTGAATTCAGAGAAATAAATAGAATCCATATATATATATATATCCAAATGATAAACTAACTAAATATAATATATCTAAAATTATATATAACTAAAATAATATAATATTATTAATATAATTATACATAAAACTATAAATTAATATAAAAGTTAAAGTAAATATCAATCAACTATTATAATATATTTATTTTATAAATATTTATGCCCGTGCATGAGCACGGGAAAATCACCTAGTTTTACTTAAATGATGAAAAATTGAAACTTTCCACAACTTTGTGAAACATTTTTACGAATAAGACTTTAAAATAATCAAGCTGACTAAGATCATTTCTAATCCCATAATATTTATTATTCTAAATAGAATTTGGGATAAAATTTTATTCAACATGTGAGTTTAGCAGTGCTTACCGCCTTACACCAATAATCAATAACACGCAAAATTAGGAAATTACGTTCAATCCCTTTTCAAATAAAAAATAGATTGTGTATGTGCATATATTGCGTGGATTTTTATTTTATTTATGATTGATTCAGTAATTAGCCACTGATACTTGATTTTTGATTGATATAAATGAAAAACAAAAAGCTGATACAAACATAAAACCGCGTGTATTAATCTAAAAGTTGGTTTAGATTAATCAAGTATTAGATGGTGACTAAAATTTAAAGTGTAGCTCGCGAAAACATATATTCGTCCTTTTGCATAAACATAAAAACAGTGGTAGATTGGTGTTTAAAATACGTTTTTTAGCTGTTAGGTAGACTAGAATCACGTTTTCATCTAATTTGAGTATGTATATTATAATAATCGAATATATTATTGATTACTTCTTGTTTATTAATCAGTTGCGTAAGTGAAACGAATCATAGCTTTAATCCAGTTTCCGCATCGACTCCAAAGTGATTCCTAACTTAAGTGGAGGCGAGAAATGGCGACAACTGAGGAAGAAGTTGCACTTCTCGAAGATTACGCTAGCGATTCCGTCGACCACCGTGGATATCCCGCCGGAAAACTTTCCACCGGCGGATGGAGATCCGCTTGGTACATAATTGGTGAGTTTCATTCTTTTTTCTTGAACTTTATACGAGTAACGAGTTTCATCTTTTTGTTTTCTTGAAATATTGTTACAAGTTTCATTTTATTCTTGAATTTTTTTTTTCAGGTGTGGAGGTAGGAGAAAGATTTGCCTACTTTGGGATTGCCTCCAACTTAATTACTTACCTCACTGGACCTCTCGGGCAATCGACGGCAACCGCCGCCGTAAACGTGAACACATGGTCAGGAACAGCCTCGATGCTTCCTGTTTTAGGAGCTTTCATAGCAGACGCATATCTTGGTCGTTACCACACCATTGTTGTAGCTTCTCTCATCTACATACTCGTAGGTTCCGTCTCCCACTACCAATTTTTAATCTGATTTTTGAAACTTTGACTTGTCAGTCAGTGGATTTTTAATTGATCTAAGAACGTGAACAAAACCATGTGATCTTACTGAATCATTAGTTACTTATAAATTGTTTCTTCTAAATCATGTGTTATTTGTTTAAAGAATTCTAGATATACAGTAGTTTGACTTCACAATGAATTTGAACATATTTGTAAGTGTTACAAATACAAATGTTAAAATTCACATAATAATAGTCTATAGTAAAAAGTATATAATACAACAAATATTTGGGATTGTTATTACAGGGACTAGGACTACTGACGTTGTCGGCTTTCTTAATCTTATTAAGAATATCCGAGCAACGTAACGATACCGTTAAATCGTTTTTCTGGGTGAATATACTTTTCTTCTGCTCGCTGTACATGGTGGCGATCGGACAAGGCGGCCACAAGCCGTGTGTTCAAGCGTTTGGTGCGGACCAGTTTGACTCAGGAGATTCAAAAGAGAGAATATCTAGAGGATCGTTTTTCAACTGGTGGTTCATGACTTTATCTGCCGGAATCACACTATCTTTTATTGTAGTGGTTTACGTTCAAGACAATATTAGCTGGGCCCTTGGTTTTGGAATTCCTTGTTTGTTCATGGTTATGGCTCTTGCTCTCTTCTTGCTTGGAAGAAAAACTTACAGGTACCCAATAGGAAATCACAAGGGGAAGAAGAATGCTTTTGCGAGGATTGGTAGAGTTTTCGTTGTGGCCTACAAGAATCGAAAACTGAATCTATCGGATTCGGGTTTGAGTCAAGGTCTATTGGAGGATGGTTCATCACAGAAACGTAAAGGTTGGCTTGAGTAAGTTGCATAAATCTCTAAGTCTCGAATATTTTTTTATATTAGGTTTAGAGTTCAACCTAATTTTGAATGTCACTCTTGACTTCAAGGTTCCTAGAAAAAGCGTTGATATCAGGAGAAGGAGGTGCAGAGCCATGTAGTACAAAGGACGTGGAAGACGCTATGGCTTTGGTAAGGCTTATTCCGATATGGATCACATCGGTCATAAGCACGATTCCCTACGCTCAATACTCGACTTTCTTCACCAAGCAAGGTGTTACGGTGGACAGACACATCTTGCCGGGTTTGGAAATCCCTCCGGCTTCCTTTCAGTCGCTTATCGGTGTATCAATTCTCATCTCAGTTCCTACTTATGAACGTGTATTCCTTCCGTTAGCTAGAACGATTACCAAGAAGCCTTTTGGGATCACGATGCTCCAGAGAATTGGAGCCGGAATGGTGCTCTCTAGCTTCAACATGGTGGTTGCTGCGTTGGTAGAAATGAAACGGCTCGAGATGGCTAAAGAATACGGACTTGTGGATAGACCAGACGCAACCATCCCGATGTCGATATGGTGGTTCGTTCCTCAGTATTTGCTGCTGGGTATGATTGATGTGTTCTCGCTAGTTGGTACACAAGAATTCTTCTACGACCAAGTTCCAACCGAGTTAAGGAGCATTGGTCTTGCGCTTTCTTTGAGTGCAATGGGTCTTTCGAGCTTCTTGAGTGGTTTTCTCATCACTGTGATTAATTGGGTTACCGGTAAAGATGGTGGCGATAGCTGGTTCAACACTAACTTGAACCGAGCACATGTCGATTACTTTTACTGGTTGCTCGCTGCTTTCACCGCCGCTGGGTTCTTAGCGTTTTTGTTCTTCTCCAGGTTGTATGTGTATCGCCGGGTAGATATCTAGTCTAAGAATAAGAAAAAGTGTTGTATCGATATACATATTCATTGTTCATAAGGCGCGAATGATATAAGATCATGAAAAGACTATACCACAAACATGGAAAGCTATGTGCAGTTACAAACAATATATATGCATTCTACGCTCTAAAAGTATAATAATACTAAAACGTGCATTTCAAGCTATATAAGTAAATGAACATCTATATGACTAATCTGATCATAATCAACCATGGGAGCGTAATAAATGGTGTGTGATGAAATTTTATTTAAACATTACAAAGAGTGAGAGAGAAAGAGAGTACCTGCAACATTATACAAGGGAGATATAGAGTTTAAAGGGAGTTGACCCTCTTAGAAACGTAGGCCTTTGCAAAATACAAGTAAGAGGCTAAGGCAATGAAGCTGAAACAAGCAAGTAACCAGTAAAAGTAATCCAGATGAGCCTGGTTCAGGTTATTTGCGAACCAACTCAATTGACCAGATCGGCTCGTCGCTTTATCAATAACTGATATCATGAAACTGCTGAGAAAACTACCAATACCGAATATGCTCAAGTACAGAGCCAACCCCACACTCCTCAGCTCGCTAGGCACCTGGTCGTAGAAGAACTCTTGAAGACCAACCATTGTAAAAACATCCGAGATACCAAAGAGAACATACTGAGGAACTAACCACCATACATTCATTGGAACCGTAACTTCTGGTGAATCAATGAGCCCGTAATCCGCAGCAGTTTTAAGCCTTTTCATCTCCACTAGAGCAGCAATTACCATAGCAAGAAAAGAGAGGAATATCCCTGTGCCTATTCTCTGAAGCATAGTGATTCCGCCTGGTTTATGTGTAAATGATCTTGCGATTGGGATGAGTACACGATCGTACACGGGGATGAAGATGACTATAGAGAGGCTGATGAAGGACTGGAGAGTAGCCGGAGAGATCTTGTAATCAGGTGTGATTGATCTCTCCATTGTGGCTCCTTGTTTAGTGAAGAAAGTTGGAGACTGCGCGAATACAACCGCGTAAACCAAGCAAGTTAACCAGATTGGAGCTAGCCTAAGCACAGACTTTGCTTCTTCAAGTTCATCTATACTACAGCTACAAGAACCATTCGCTTCAACCAGAGCTTTGTTGAGAAAACTACATTTGCAATAAGAACCAAATATAAGGCCAATAACAATGGCAAAAAAAACAAAGGAGACAGGAAGCTTTCTTACTACCTAAACTGCTGCGACCTTGTATGAGAGATTAAACCATGGCTCTCTTCTGCATCAGCTACAACTGAACCTGATACACTCCAGTTCTTGACAGCAGCTACATAAACATTCAGAATCCTCGCAAAAGCGCTTCTATCTTCTCTTCTAACGCTGAACCGGTAAGTGTTGGTTCCGAGCAAGAAAACCACCAAAGCAAGCACCATAGCAACACAAGGTATACCAAACCCTAGAGCCCAACTGAGATTATCTTGAATGTAATTCAACACCCATAGAGTCACCAAGGTCCCAAAGCACATACCAAAATACCACCAATTAAAGAAGGAACTCTTTGCTTTACACTCGTCAGGATCCTTCTCATCAAACTGATCCGCTCCAAAAGCCTGAACACAAGGCTTATGCCCGCCTTGAGCAAGTGCCACTAGATACAAGGCACCAAAGAAGGTGATAACTTGAAACCTAGGAGGAGAGCATGAGGAGGAGGCGACTTTGCATTCTGAAGGAATCATCGCAGATAGAGTCAGTAAACCAAGTCCCTGTTAGTTCAATCAAAATTCAGTTATTGACCGTTAGAGAGTTTGTTACAATCACTCTGTGACTTTTTTTTTCCTCTAACCAAACGGTTTAGATTAAAGTTGGAGAGATAGATTCGTACGAATACGTAGAGAGCTGAAGCGGCGAGGATTGTGCGGAAACGACCTAGAAACGAATCTGCGACGAAAGCACCAAGGAGAGGAAGCAACGAGGCCGTTCCATACCAGGCGTTGACGTTAGCAGCGGCAGCCGCCGTGGATTGACCTAGCGGTCCCGTCAAATACGTTATCAGATTCGACGAGATCCCGTAGTAAGCGAACCGCTCAGCTACCTCCACACCTGCCGTCCAACAAAGCAAAAAAAATCACAATTCGGGAAACTTAACAAATTTGGCGGAAATATTACCGATGATGAATCCGGCGGATCTCCAGCCTCCGGAGGAAGATCTGACGGCGGGCTTTTTTCTGGAGTCGACGGATCCGTCAACGGTTTTGGAAAGAAGCGGAGCGATTGCTTCATTATCCACGACGGCGATCGCCATTTATTTGGTTTCTCCGAGAAAGTCTTCTTTGCGTGTGGCTGTGTGAAAAACATCTTTTATTTTATTCTGTTTGTTTCGTCGTCTTCTTCTAATGATTTTGGAACGTAGGACGTTCATGTCAGTTGATGGTAATGGTGAGAGTGGTTAGAATTGGGCTTAGCCTATTGTGAGCGGCACATTTTGTTTCCCCTTATATTTACACTAAATTGTGCTTAGACTCATTATAGAGCAAAACATATTATTTTTTTTATTCGAGATCTTCCGTGTAAAGTGATGTCTATGAATTCCAATTGCTCAAATCGACTCCATATCTAAAATCAGATCAAAATTCTGAGTTCAAACACTTTTCGTGGATGGCGAAAGGATATAGGCGAATTCCAACGGCGACATGTATGGTAACGATGAAACTTTCGGAGACGTGTACGGTTTCATATGGGCTCCGATTGTGACGTGATCGGTGGCTACGACTTCGTCTTAACGAGAGTAACATGATAATAGCTTTTCATGTACGAGATTCTCAACGGATAAAAAGATATCAGCAATTTACTAAAATGACCAAAACTTAACACAAATGCATAGCGATTTCTGGGTTACCTACTGTGGGAACAGTACGGACGAGCTCGGTAAGGTCACGAGGTGCGGTGGCTCCAACGATATCTGGTGGTCCATTTCTGGCAAAGGTTTCTCACTCTCCTTTTTGAACTTTCTCTTTCCTTTTCTTGTGAAGAAAACAAAGTAGACAAATTTTCATTTTAATTATCTTGGACTATGATTGGGTTTGGGTCTTTGTAGGAATGAGTATGGATTTTAGCCGGTTAACAAATTTCGAGACCAAAATTCAGGTCATTACAAGTTAACTGCGAGATATAGGAGGTCTATAGAAAGGATTCATGGTTAGCTTTTGTGGTTAGATTTCGGATTCGTGGGATTTTAAGTTTCAGACAGTGTGGTGAACAAAGAGTCGAATCAGGAACACAAAAGAGATATACTGTGAAAGAAGCTGGTAACATGACGAGGTAAATGTCTATCCTTTTCTTATTATTTGAAGAGCACTTTTGAAAATAAACCTCTTCTTCATTTGTGATTAACAACTTTGTCATTTCTTAGGTGTCAACACCACAATGCATTTTACATCCTTTATTAAATAGTCATTTCTTGCTTAGGCTAATTACATGTCATGTCAATGCATTTTACATACTTTCAGTTTATATGCATGTTTCTCTTACAACAATAGGATTAACGTAAATATTAATTCGTCCATTGTTAATATATTATTACATAGTTCCTGCAAATTAATTTTGGAATTAAAATGATATATTCATCCATCGTAGGTTTATGTTGTTTTGTATAATACAAATACAATTTATATATTTTATAAAACGGTTTATCCCCTTAATATTTTGACCAAGCATAATGTTATGATCCATGCAGTATTATTAACTAACTTTATGGTCAACATTTTTATAATAATATGAAATGCATTAGCCTCTGAATGAAATAAGGCATGAAAATAAAGTTTACAATGAAAATAATATATTTCATCGTAATATATTGTTTTGTATAATGCAAGAGCAATTTATAAAATTTATAAAACGGTTTATCCTCTTGATATTTGGACCGAACATAATGTTATCCATGAAATATTATTAACTAACATTGTGGTCAACATTTTTATAATAAGATGAAATGCATTAAACTCCCAATAAAATAAAGAAAATGAGATAAATTATTGGCACCAATTCATAATTTTTGATTTCATCTTTGTGACTTTACATATTGTGTAGTCAATTTAAAAGAGGACTAGGTTAATATCCGCACATTTGCGCGAGGTGAAAATTATATATTAAATTATAATATGTTTTATTCTTTATTTTGTGTTCTTTTATATATCATAAAATAATAAAATATATATTGAATAATTGAAAAAATCTGTAACTATTATATATACAATTAATTTAGCGAACACTTAAATAAAATAATCATATTTGTTTATTTACATTCACTTTATATAAGTAAATCTAATTAATAAATTATATTAACATATATATATATTATACTTTTTATTTGGATATCTAATAAATGAATCTTCACACTTACATGGTTTATGATAATTTGTATATTTTTATAATAAAAAAAATTTAAACTATTGAGAGATTAAAGTTTATCGTCGTTTAATATTTACAGGAATTTATCGTCGTTTACAAAAAAATAAATTAAAGTTTTTCATTAAAATATTAAGTTCTCAATACTTGTTTAATGCAATTTTGGAATTAAATATTTATGTATTTTAAATGGTATATAGTTTAATTTAAACATCACTATATATATATATATATATATATATATATATACATCTAATTGAAATATCTATTAAATGATATTTTTACTCATTAATTATATAATTGTTGTATCGTGCTATAACAAAAAAATTAAACTATTAATCAAAAATATTATATGTGAAATTTTTTAAATCTTTTATTAATTTATAGTCCTTTTAAAAAATTCAAAATTATAACATATATCAAAAAAACTAATTTTTTTATTTACTTAATGTTATTGTTTAATTTATTTTCACAACATAAATTTAACAAAAAGAGTAGAGACTATACAATTTTTTTATCAAATTTTCATATTCAAATAATTAATTGTCATATATATATATTATAACTATATTAGGTAATTCTGTAATTTTTATTTAAAGAAATAATGACACGTGGCTACCAAAACATATTTTAATGCTTCTCAATTAACATAAAAAAATTGATCATCTAATTTTTAAAATATTTGGAAAGAAATATTGAATCACTTAAATTAAGGATCATGGCTTTGTATAGTTTATAAATTTTCATAAATGATAAAAGAACCATATCATTTTTCTTACATCGTATACAAAAATCTCCATGTTTTTGATAGGTATATAGTAATCGTAAAAATTCAGCTGTTATAAAAAAAATTAATTGATTAGTTTTTTTTTAATTTTAATAGGACCGAAGAAAAAATAATGTATTATGTTATATTACAGTGTTTCGTATAAATGGACATTATGCGTATTCATAACTTATGCGTATTCATATCAAAATGCATAATTAAGGAAATCAGTACATTGCCAAATGTATTATATTGTTTTTTAAAATACAAAATAGTTTCAATCAGTCATAAATTTTGATTCTGGTTGCTATAAAATTGCTAAATTAGTAGATTCTCAGTCACAATTAAATATATCAAATTTGGAATGATGATTTAATCAAAACATCAAATCAGTCAAAGATACAATCACATTTTGCCTAAATTATATTTCTGATACATATACATCATTTGTTTCTCAAGCTAAAGAAATATTTATTTTATACAAACTAACTAAGAAAAATATATTTGTTTTCTCAACCTACTAAACAATATAACTTTCTTACGTGAATAACCATATCATTTCTGATACATCATATTATTTATTTTCTACTCCACAAATTTATATGATAATTATAACATAATACATAGTTCATCATGATATGAAAAATACATCATATACAAAACTATGTTTTTATTAGGTATATAATAATCATATAAATTCAATTGTTATATGAAATTGATGCTTTGATTAGTTTATTTTTTTAATTCTTAATAGGACAGAAGAAAAAATAATATAAGGAACATTTAAAACATTTGTTATGATTTATGTAAAAATATTTATAACAAAACTATGAAGTGAACAATATTAAACTAAGAACTTTTTAAAAGCAACTTGTGTTCGTTAATATTTTAATACTTCAAAGATCATGATCAAATTCTGGATAAAGTATCTCTTATGATGTGAGACGAAAACTAATGAAAAAGTCATGTACCTAATACAAAATACTACTTTGGAAGGATTTATTTTTTTTTAGTTTCGAAAAATCATAAAACTATGCAATATCTGAAACTACATATATGTTCAAATTCTATGAAACGGTAATCTCTTTGGCTCTGTTATTATCAATAGAGCAATATAAAGAGTTGTCTTCTCTCGTTGGCTCCTACTGGAGTAATAAAAAGAGAGTAACAATAGTTCTCAACTAAGTCTAAAGCATGGTGTTTCTGGATTAATATGAAGATTATCTCCTACGAGATTCAACTATTTCAGAAGCAAATATGAAGCTTTCACATGGAAATTTTTAGTCATCCATATACTAATAGATGTGTTAGTTTACTTTGGATCCCTACTGGTGTATACCTTTTCTATATTGTTTTTGCCAATTCTCATTGTGTAAAACTATTTGCCTAAATGGCTTAATAATACAATCCAGCGTTAAAAAAAAAAAATAGCAATTAAAATCAACAGTAATTTAGAAATATATATTAAATTTCTGTAAAAAATGCATAATCTTTGATTATGTATTTCTTTCCAAAAATATGTATTCAATTCATTGATTGATTTTACAAAGGTATCAATCAACTCTCGAATCAATTCATAATATTGATTGATTTAATTTTACATCACGTTCTTCATCCTCCATGGTTTTGAATCCAAAACCTCCATCAAAGACCAGCAAAAATTTAGAGATTTTGTGATTGTATTATGGTGATGGAATATTTTTGCTTCTTCGATATTTGTAAACCCTATAAATTTGTACTATATAAATCATACTAAACGAAAAATTCTGAAGATACTAGTTGGCGTATTTTTTTTCTTCGAATTTTGTTAATTTTTTTATTATTTGTTCCTTTAATATTTCATTATTCTATTGTCTTTGTTTTTTTTATCTTATATTCATAATTTATATTATGAAAACAATAATTATATTTTCTATGTTTCGTTTTATATTAAGTTCATAATTTATTTTATATAAGTCTTTGTTTATGCTTATAGATTTATTTCAACAAACTATATTTTAATTATAGCTTAGGAATAACACAAATTAAGAAATTGAAATTTTGAGTTTATCTTATAGAAATATACATAATTTCTTAATAATTTCAATATATAGCATATAATATGTGTAACTATTATATTTATATTTAATACATATACATATTCTATTCGAGACACGAGACATATTTCTTAAAAGCTCTAAACACATCGTTGAACTTAACGACAAACTAGACCATGATTTAAAAGCTCTGAAACACATCGTTGAACTTAACGACAAACTAGACCATGACCCGCCCGATCGG